GTCAAAACTCGAGTCCAGGGGTAGATGTCGACTACCCATAACCCCACGAGTCCATATATATATATTTTATTTTCAAATCTGAATCCAATTCGACACTCAAATCTCAAAAAAAAAATCAAAATGTAGACCAAATTTCCCAGAATTTCTCTTAGAAATTCATGAATTTGTTAAATCCAATAAATAATCATGTAATATAATTTAAAGTTGATCAAAATCACTTACCCAACAGTTGTAGGTGAAAATCCCACCTCAAAATTACCTTCTACCGAGTTTAGGGTTCTAAAATGTGAAAATGAGACTCAATCCCGTCTTTCCAGCCCTTATGTTCATGTGCAGAAGTCACAATTGTGACCCTGGATTCGCAATTGCGAACCCTCACAAATGCAAACATTGACTCGCAATTGCGGCGCCTAACAACCCAGGGTAATGTCGTAATTGCGACACTGACCTCACAAACGCGAAGTCAGCCCCTTCCGCAAATGCGACCAAATGGTCGCAAATTCGGCCTACCCAGCCTAAGCCTACATGAGACCACTCTGCTATGATCGTAATTATGATGTTGGTGCTCGCAATTGTGATAACTGGAGCACCAGCACACCAGCAACCTAGAATGGATCCAAACCAATCCGAAACACGTCCGAAATTCACCTGAGCCCTTGGGGGCCTACACCAAATATCCACACAAGTCTAAAAATATCATACAAACTCGCTCACATGATCAAAATACCAAAATAATATCCGGAACCAGGAATCAGACACCAAGCACAGTGACCTAAAGAGGAAATGGTCGTGTAACAACAGTCTCACAACAACATCGTATGCATCCCATAAGAAAATGGCACCTATCGTGGCTAATGAACGGGAAGAAGAAAAAAAATCAAAAGGTGATATTCAAGATCATACGAGTTGTATGGAATTCCAATATGTGCGGATACTAAGATAAACCAAGTATTCATGGAACAAGTGGTAGAACGACCAGGAAGAGCAATTGCTTGCATTTATAGAATGTTGAGAAGGAACAAAAGGAATTATTCGATCGATGATCCAGAGTTAGTCACGTTATGAACGCACATAAGATTTTGGAGTATTACCCGTGCAGTATATATGTTGATAATCATACAGCCGTAGAAGACTCTGTATAAGTTAAAAGAAAGAATTGAGTCTAGGTCAAGGACGAAGGATTGAATTATTAGAAGATTGTATCGTGGATATTCCATAGCGTCCAAGAAAGGCTAAAGTAATACCTTGAGCCGCAGATCGGAAGATAGCTTAAGCCTACATAAAGGCTGATCAGAAGGAAGAAGAAACTAAAGAATTACATCAACTAAGTAATTCAGGAGTCTAATTATTGGACCTAGAAAATTATAGAAATTGTGATTGAGAACATTGCAGAATTACTCTAATATCAGATATACAAGAGAGATAGTACAACGACCATATTCTATAACGGCTCTACGATAAAGCAAGTTAGAAAAGTACCAGCCTCATAAGAAGTCATTATAAAGCTCCCACCGGATTGTGTATGCACCAGAGGTGCAAGTATTATAATAGAGCTTCAAGTCGTGGATGTGAATTATACCTATGTGGAAGAGAGGTCATGAAAGAAATAGAAGATATGATGCAAGATTTTAAGTACGGTAAAGGTGAACAACGTACGAGATACTCAAATGCAGAAAGTTGTGAATAGTCCATACTTCGGATAGAAGGCTAGAAGTGCGGGGATTCAATATCCAGGAATGATAGCAGCATCGTCAGTAGCATATCTTCCAGCCTATAGTTTCTAGGTATCGAGAGGTCTAGTTAAGAGAGTAAAAGAAGAGTTAGAGATAATGTGATGTCTCGCTTGATGTTCCAGAAAAGCATAAGGAAATCAGTCGCAAGCTAAAGTATGATAGAACGAAAAGATTTTAGAAAGACAGGAGTAAGGATAAGAAAGGGCAAGTGAGAAGGTGGCAAAAATGGATAAGTCCTTGGGATTAAGCCCGTGAAAACAAGGGAGATGATGGTTACTCTAAGTTATAGAAGAACTCAAAAGAGTCTAAGACTAGTAGCATTTAGAAGAAATGGAATGCTGCCCTGGTAGTAGAATGAGGGTGTGATTGTGATAGATAAAGGATGACGTTTAGGCCTTCGATTGAGTAATTATTTGATGAATTGTATAGGATTAAAATACCCACGTAGGGTGAATCACATTGGGATGCTATGAAATACGGTTATGGAAGCATGGTATCGCCCCTAGGTGGATCAATCTAGTCACTTCAGATGTTTCCCGATGAGACGTAAGCCCTAGCGGCAGTGTTACAAAAAGTCAAGTTATCAATGGTAAGTTGTAGGTCAATATTGAGGTGAATCAACAATGGATGGATAAAAGTTACAAAGTATGAGATGAGATTAGGCCGACATTCTTAAGATGAACAGTAATGAGGAAGCATTAAAGGACTTAGACTTATACATATAGGATGAGCAACAAAAATAACCTGGAATTTGGTAGCAGACCTCAGTAACGATAACTCGAAGTAAGAGTTATGGTATAGTACGACCTACCTAGATGCAATAAAGTCATACGGATGGATAAATGGATCTATGAAATAAGGTATAGCAATATTCGTAAGTTCAACAAAGTATCGAGCGAAGAACTTCAACATACCTATAGATACCCAGAGGGACATTTTATCAAGCTCTGTATATATTCTCAAAGTGAGGCCTAGAGATTGGCTAAAAACTGGAGGAAAAAGGAGAGAAGCATAGGCGCACTTACAAGGTTAGAGTCGTACAGGCTGCATGATAGAAGGTAACAACAGTTACGAGATTGGAAGGATTCCGACTACAAGTCGAGGTGTGAGAAAGTGGCCTAAAGGGGTGAATGCCCTGGCCTTTAGATTCATTCACAGAACAGTTGCCTAGATGGCAAGAAGAGTACTAAAGTATTCGCAAGAACTATAGTTTATGAAAATGATCGTGCATCAGTCAACATTCGAGGATGAATGTTCTGAAAGGGGGAATGATGTTACACCCCCATGCTTTCGTACGTGAAAGTATGCCAGGAGTAAATTAATATAAGCTCGGAAATGAGATGTGTTACATCTCGCGTTTTCGTACGTTAAAGTTTCGTCGTAAGTTAATCGGCGTAAGCTCGGGGATGAGATTTTTTTGAGACAATAAGCATTTATGCTATTTATAACAAGCAATAAGTAAGTACCGTGAAGGTTAAAGGGTAAACGAATCAAAGAAAATGAGTTTCGTCGAAGATGGTCAATTTGGGATATAATACAATCCGAGCCATAGTACCCGGTATTTATAGACTAGTGCCACACAAGGTACCCCATGACCGTGACAGTAGGGTACATAAAATGTATTAAAAGTGAGTAGTATTTTAAGCAATTTGATATAATTCTTAATTATGTGGGTAATTAATTAAATAGTGGGATAAGATTTAACCCCTCCCCCAACGTGGCAAGCATCCCTCTCCATTTAATGACTAAGTAATAAAGGTAGCAAGGTGTCACACTTTGAAAGAAATGTGACACCAAAGCATTAATTATGTGGGGCCACCTAAAAAAGTTAAAGATAACAATTATAATCTCTTATGGAAAATTTCAACCAAACTTTCCATACTCAGTAACGTCACTTCTAAGAGCTTCAGCCTAGCTTCCCATTTCATAGTTACATCAATTCTATTCACTTAAGGAAAAGGTTTCAGCCAAGATGGTCTTTGCATAAGCAACGTTATTGCTTCGAGCTTTTCATATAACTTGTTCCGTATTTTATCGTAATTAACATGTGTTAGAGGATTGTTAAGAGAATCGGTTCAGGTATATTAAGGCTATCCCTTCTTTCTTTTTGGCATGATCCATACGATACAAACGAAACAAGTAAATGCACAACTTCCATAAATGACTCTATTCATAGAAGTATTAGAGGTGCCTATGTTCTTGAATTCCCATGTATCTTATTATTACATCATCTGTTCATGGGTCTCAGAAAAATACGTAGTTGATAAGTTTATCTGAAAGGCATATTGATCTTATTAACATATTTTTATGCATTTCATTCATTTATACATGTACATTGACGCATGACCAGATATCGTTATATATATATATATATATATATATATATATATATATATATATGGGAAAAGGTTACGACGTTATATACGCACCACCACCTGATCAGTTGGTAAACGTTGATGATTTTCTCACAGTGGCCGAGATGATATGATGGGATGCCCTCAGAGGCTTGATGATGTTATGAACACATTTAACCATGCATGGTATGACATTTATACGCATATGCATGACATTATAATATTAAATGATTGACACAGCTATTCAGATATACATGTTGAGTCTTTTACTCCATGTTTCTCTCATGTCTATTGTTTACTGATTTTTATTCCTTACATACTCGGTACATTATTTGTACTGACGTCCCTTTTGCCTGGGGACGCTGCGTTTCATGCCCGTAGGTCCCGATAGACATGTCGAGAGTCCTCCAAGTAGGCGATCAGCTCAGCGGAAGATGTTGGTGCACTCCATTTGCTCCAGAGTTGCTTGATGTGTATTGTTTGGTATGGCGGGGCTCTGTCCCGACCTTTATGACAATTATGTATCCGTAGAGGCTTGTAGACAAATGTCATGTACGTAAAAGATTGTATGGCCTTGTCGGCCTATGTTCAGTGCACGAGTGGTTATTTTGGTCTTAGAGGCCCATATGTCTTATGTATAAGTTAGTATTACATGTTAGATTCTACCTATTTCACGGCAACCTCTCCGGCTCAATTATCTATGTAGTATGATACGAAAAGATACGTTGTGTTGATACTCGGTTAAATAAGGTACCGGATGCCCGTCGCGACCCGTCTGTTTGGGTCGTGACACCCAAGTCCAAATGCCTAATAAAGTCTTGAGTTGTATTAAGCAATACATATTAAAAACCAAAATAGTTCTACCCTATACATTAAGCAAAATTTTGATTTTTATTTTCCTCGCCTTTTTCCAACTATTCTAATCAAAGCTACTACCTGAAATGGTTCATTTCTATGTTTTATAAACTTTAAGGTGCTCAAGAAAACAAAAAAGTTATTTAAGGTGTCAAAATATGAAAATCCATAAAAGCTCCTACACTCTTTGACTCTATTTTCTCGCAGTTCTAGAGAATCTAAGAAAAGAGGAAGGAGAAGATGATGCGAACGAGGTTGCTATGGTTCACAATAGGTCTCACTTCCGTTTCAGCTACAATGACTCACTTCATATTCAAAGATCTATGGGCTGATCGACTCTCTCTTTCTTCCCAAGTAATTTCTCTGACCAAAAAGCCATTATTATTATTATTATTATTATTATTATTATTATTATTATTATTATTATTTGTTTTTTGGGGAAAAGAAATGTTGATTTATTCTTTTACTTTTTGTCGGGAGTACAGTTGAAGGAGAAATTTAGCGTCTTGGAGACTAGGGTTTCCAGTCTTGAAGTGCTTCGTGATAGTCCCAATCCTCAGCAGGTATTTTCTGGCTAATATTAAGGAATAATATTTATTGTAATTTTCTTTTTTTTTTTTAAACCTGAATTTAGCTTCAGAAGTTAAGCTGGTCAATTGTATGTTTAAGTACGGTTATATTATAAGATTATTTATTATATAAGCAAATTCCTGTGGAATGAAGCTTTGTTTAGTTCCAATCAAGTTTGCCTTCTGGATTGAGTTGAGGTGTGCGCAAATTGGCGCAAACACTGCAACAATAACAACAATAACTAAGCCTCTCCCAAACAAGTTATGGTTGGCTATATGAATCCTCATTGACCACATTACTTCATTCAAGCTCATCTCATGCTAATATTATGCACATACAAATAAAAAGTGTTCGAAGTATTAGAAACAGGCCCGAGCACTACTGTTATGAAAAAGAAAGTTTGCCTTCTGCATTTACATACATCCATAGCCAATTACCTCATTCAAATCGTTTAAAAAGCTCTAAATAGTTTTGCTTAGCTCACCCTTTTGAGGGATGACCTCTCACATTATTCCTGAATATTAGTTTGATATATCAACTCTGTCTACTCTTCCCCGTTTCTTATTCCAATTGTTGTTACTAATGTTATTCTCATCTAGATGGATGCTAGGTTTTTTAGTCAGTACTCCTACATCCATAGCATGAGTAGTTAAAGCAAGTGAATGATTTGAAATTCGAGTTATTTCACGGAATAACACTCGTATATATTGAGCTCGTAATGGTACCTCGCAATTCAAAAGTCTCTCTACGGCTGAAGAATGAGCGTGTTCTTGGGCCATCATAGAAACATAGATAGGGTCGACGACGGAACGAAGAACGAAACTTTACGACAGCTTTTTCGTAGACGTTCACTTGCATCACATACACAAGTGCTCTCTGAACCGTGCAATAAGGTCACCCATAACACGGCTCTCCCACTTGAGTTATCTTAGCCCCAGGCCATGCTATTCAATAATATTGGAAAAATGGCAGCGTAAGGTAACAACTAGTATGGAAAGCTGGTCGCCTTTGGAAGCCTTCGCCGGTAACCAAAGCGTATCGTTCCCGCAACCACTTTGGTACTTTGTTTATAGCTTTTTTCACAAATAAGAGCTAATAAAGAGACCCGCAATTCCGTAGAAAGACATCACGATTCCTTGTGGAAAAAAATTGATTTGCTGAGGCGGAAAAAAAGATATCAAATTTCTACCAAGATAACTGGAAGTTCCAACTAATAAGAAGCCTAATGAACCTAAAAAAAGGATAAAGGCCCAGCAGAAATTACTTATTTTTCGAGACCCCGTTATAAGTTCTATCCATATATGTTCTGATCGCCAAGTCATACTTTACACGATTGCATTTTATTGGAATTGAGATAATACCCCAGAGAAATTTGACTTTACTTTTTTGTTTCCGAAGTAACTCTCATCAACTAGCACTAGTTTGATGTCAACCTTTAGGAGTTATTCATCAAATTGGTTAAATCTAAAATAATAACATACTCTTTGTTTAATACGATCCCACTATACACATCGATATACATAGAGATTCACCGACTACATTTCAGCCATCCAGCGATCTTGATCTATTTGAAAATTGCTAGAATCGATATATCCATATATCATATTTCTGCAGGCATAAGAGTTTTTTCCTTTATGTTCGGTGGAAATCACATCTTATACTATACTCCAATAAATAGATATCTGTGTTATGATACAAGTCCACGTTTTCAAAAAAAAAATGTATGAGATTGGGTCCCAGCGGATCTAAACAATCTTATTTTTTTGAACTTGAAGAAATAAAGAAGCCATTGCAATTGCCGGAAAGACTAGGCCTACTAACGGCACAAAAATAGATGGAAGGTTCAAATTTGTCATAGAAGGGTACCTCGATTTACTATTTGTATCTGTTATTATGTTATTATATAAAGGCGAAATGGCTTCCTGGCCACTTAAACTTGTCGGGTTTTTTAAGCCGATACATAAACTTATAACTTTCCCATTTGAACACTCGAACTCGTTTTTTCCATAACTAATAAATACATTTGACCATTGACCATGCCCATGTGGCGTCAGTTGGTCCTAATCAGCAGCCCGCGTGAGGAACACGACGCACAGGAGCGTGAAAACCCCCTTCCCAATGCCCAACAGTACAAAATACCCCCTTCCTCCATTTTTAAAAATCTGAAGCTCCATTTTCAATTTTTTTTTTCATTTTTCAGATCGTGAAAATGGTGGAAAGTTGTATATTTTGTCATTGTAGAGTTGAAGCTAAGTTTTGAACTTCCCCATAACTTCCCCTTCCAAGTTCGTTGAACTCCTTGAACCTAATAATGGCATCTTTCAACTCTAAGAGTCGGAAAAATTCAGGACCGGCTCCTGTGCGTTTCCTTTAATGTCGATGCCAATGGAATATTGAATGTCTCTGCTGAGGACAACACTACAGGTCAGAACAAAAAGATTACAGTTACGAATGATAAAGGTCGGCTTTCGAAGGAAGAGATTGAGAATATGGCCAAGGATGAAAAGAAGTACAAGGCAGATGATGACGAATACAGGAAAAGAGCCAAAGCTGAAGAAGCATTGCAGGGGTAAACCTCCTTCATACACTTCGGATATTGGGCGAGGAGAATATTGTTGCGCAGCTTAGTGCAGAAGACAAGAAAAAGGTTGAGGATGTTCTTGAACAGTCAAAGAGAAGGAGTCGCTGCTTGACTTGATGTGTAAGACATCCATTAGTCATTTGCTGACTGGATGGACACGTATGTGTATGTGTAATACACGCGCACAAGGTCAATGGTCAAATGTATTTATTAGTTATGGAAAAAACGAGTTCGAGTGTTCAAATGGGAAAGTTATAAGTTTATGTATCGGCTTTACAAAAAACCGACAAGTTTAAGTGGCCAGGAAGCCATTTCGCCTTATATAAATAAAGATATCTTGTAATAATTATAATTAAATTAAGAATTTGAATTTTAATTACTAATTAGAAATTAGATAATATTTATTATTAATAGAATTTGTAGAATTTGAAATTCTTAGTATAGATCTAAGTATCTATATATCTAAATCTAACTGAGTAGGTATAATAAGTGCAAAGAATGTAGAACTGTAGAACTAAATAAATGGACTTATTCATCTCCTACATGAGAAAGATATGTATCATAATAAACTTTATTATTTTTCTTCATTTCTTTGTCTTTTGTTCTTGTCTTCTAATTTTCTAAAAATAGATAAAGAGTTTCTTACAAATTATCGAAAGATTCGTTCGAATCCGACCCAACATGAATTTTTAGCTAAAATGGTTTTTCGGGAGATAGAGAAAGATACAAAACTCTATTATCTATATTTGAATTTCAAATTATATACCTAAGACAAGAAGAAGAAATTCGTTTTATTTTCCTAATTTCACGAAAGGAAGAACTCACTCTTGTTGATAAAGGCTTCTTGATTCGTAATCAGGAATATAGGTAAAAAAAAGAGTTATCCTCAACTTTAGTTTTGATTCTTTCCACAATTAGATCTTCTATCACCAAAGAAAGCGCCATTATTATCTTATTTACTTTGATTCCGACAAACTAACTACTTTTTTGCTACAAACACAAATAAAATAATTGAACTTAGTGCTCTACTTGATTTTGCTTGACTTTTGATTCAAAGGAAAAAAGGCGTGGAGCTTAAATAACTCACTCAGAACGCTTTTTAAAAGATTACGTGGTACAATTAGGTCGAATAAACCCTTCTGGAATAAGTATTCAGCTGCTTGTGAACCTTCGGGTACTGTTTTATTCAATGTTTGTTCAATTACTCTTTTACCTGCAAATGCAATGTAGGCATTGGGTTCGGCAATAATGATATCCCCCAACATACCAAAACTAGCTGTCACTCCACCAGTTGTCGGAGATGTAAGGATTGATACATAAAATAACTTTTTATTTAATTGATAATCATATAAAGCAGACGATATTTTAGCCATTTGCATCAAGCTCAAACTTCCTTCCTGCATGCGCGCCCCCCCAGAAGCACACACTATAATAAGGGGTAAAATTTGATTGGCAGCGTGTTCAATCAAACGGGTGATTTTCTCTCCGACTACGGATCCCATACTACCCCCCATAAATTGAAATCCATAACCCCAATTGCTACGGGAATGCTGTTTAGTTGGCCTATGCCTGTTTGAACAGCCTCGGTTAATCCTGTCTTTCTTTGATAAAAATCAATACGATCTTTATAAGGCTCCTCCTCCGAATGAAATTCGATGGGATCCAGAGAGACCATGTCTTCATCCATAGGATCCCAAGTACCCGGATCGATCAAAAGTTCAATTCTATCTGAACTACTCATTTTCAAATGATATCCACATTGTTCACAAATATTCATTTTTGATTTCAAAAATTTCTTATAATTTAATCCATAACAATTTTCGCATTGGCAATTGAATGAATCTGTCAAGTCAAGGAAAACGTACGTAGCAGCAAGGATGGTGCATTGCCTATTTATCGTTCTCGCTCGGGAGCCAAAACGAACACGCCTGCTACCTACTGTACTGGACCTTCGACCAGGCATTCTAACTTTGTCGAATCGGAACCAACACCACTGCATTGCGCTCGAACAGTTGAGCGGCCGCCGGCCAGCAACTTCCGTGCACGGATATAGATTCATTCTTCGTACCTGGTTTAGCCTCACAATTTCGCGGGTTGGTAAGAAGTCAATCTTGTTTGGTAAGACGGAATTGGACAAAGAGAAGAGAGTGCTCGACCGGAATAACGGCCAACAACGTATAGGCTTTAAGGCGAACCGTATGGCGGCTGGAAAGAAAGACGACCTCACCTTCTCTGGTGTCAGTGAGAGCTATGAAGCTGAGTGGGAATGCTTGACAAGGATGCCTCCATTTAATTGGTGTTGCACTTTACATCTAGCAAGAAATTCTCCGATTTTTCTATTTTCAGAAATTTTCCCGAGAGATAGTTAAGAAGAAAAGAGCAGATTACTAGCCCAAATCACATGCTGATACTGTGAATTGACATTACTTTTGCAATATTTTTTTTTCAGAACTTAGTTCCTCTAAATGTTATCAATGACACCTAACGTGTCATAAGTGACATACCTGATTTACCCACAAATAATGATAATGAGAACAATGTTAAAAAAATTGTTATAAAAAGAATGAGAACATTGTTAAAAAGTTGGCTTGAGGCATGCTTCAGCTCTGAACCTAGGTCTAGCATGTTGGGTGCTTCACCTTACATAAGCGGCTGTTCAATGCCTTAGCACCCACTGGCGCTTCTTGAAAAAGGTCATACCAAGAAATAAATATACTTGGCATAGCAATATATTAGTCAATCAGTACTAATTTATATCTCACTCTTTCAATTTCGGGGTGTCCCAATATGTTTGGAAACTGGTCATTCTTTATGCATCTTTCATGTCTTTCAAGAATTTAAATACACTAAAAAAGTGGAATTTTTTAACTTTGATGCGATGTGTTCTCTATCAAACTAGTTTTCAGTCATTATTTGAGAATATATTTTTATGTATCAGCTGTATAGTAGATAAATCAAATTATCATTTTAAACTCTATGTCCAGTCAAATACTCGTATAGCATACGACAGATGCAGCACCACCTGCTAAGAAAATAATATCTACAAACATGTTTATTAGGAATAGATATATAAACACATCTTTCACAACAAATTACTTATTTAACTTAATTGCAACTCTTTCAATTCAGTTGTTCGTGTAATAGTTGTTTGTGTTTATTACTTTTTCTACTTGCACTACATATATTATTCTTCTCTTCATCCATGCCTCTTCAGTAAAGTGAGTGCTTTTGTACGCTTGTTGCTTTTTGACAGCACCAATGAAAATAATGGGTCTTGGACCCTCTTTGCAACCATTGAAAGGGAGCCTTAGAACAACGGTAAAGTTGTCTCCGTGTGACCTATAGATCATGGGTTCGAGCCGTAGAAGCAGTCACTAATGCTTGCATTAGGGTAGGCTCTCTGCATCACTCTCCTTGAGGTGCGACCCTTCTGCAGGCTATGCGTGAATGCTGGATGCTTTTTGCTTGGGCTGTCCTTTTACCCTCTTTGCAAACCTTTAATGGTTGACTTAGAACTACGAAGGGATTCCCTGGCCTGAAATTGGAAGTAAAGATCTATATCTCAAAAGGCTCGCCTGAGGATTATTTGTGGCTCGATTGGTAGAAATCTTGATGGAATTTCATGGCTAGAGAGGAGAGTGCAGTTGAGGGAGAGAAGTAACAAAATCGAGGAGAGTTAGTGGTTGTTTATAGGCTGTAAATAGTTCATTTTAATCAGTAATAGCATAAAAAAGAAGGTTGAGTACTCTAAGAGGTGCACCATAAAGGCAGAAAAGAACCAAAAGTCGGACGAAGTAGCAGATAATACTAATGCAGTGAATGCTGCTGTGTAAACAGTAAGTATAGGTTGAAAGAATGAGAAAGAAGAAATTCTAGAGCTGATACATAGAATTTCCTTGTAAATAACTCTATCGCCAAGGCTTAATAAATCACCACGGAGGCTTTAAAAAAAAGGAAGGAATCATGGAAATCAATTCACAATTCAATCATCATAAAATAGTGTATATAAGTAGCTAGATCTTTTATGCATTGAACAATAGCAAGAATGAGGCAAATAGCTTTTCATGATTTTAGAACTACTATACTCCATTGTTTAATTTCTGACACTGATCTTTTGCCTATTGTTTAATTTCTTCTTCTTGAGTCGAGGGTCTTTCGGAAATAGCCTCTCTATCCCTCCGGGGTAGGGTAAGGTCTGCGTACACTCTACCCTCCCCAGTGGGATTTTACTGGGTTGTTGTTGTTGTATACTCCAACTAGAATGGAAAATCATTGGATATTGTAATTAACCACTGAATGATGTGGTTCCTCTAATCTTTCATAAAAAACACATTAGACTCTTCTCAGCTTTAGGACCTTAATAAAATAATCTGAATATGACATGCTTGTAGAAGCAACAATAGTGCCTGTATCTGACTGACTGAACCTAAACCAGTTAAAATATGCTCCAAATGTGACGATATAATATGCTTATAAAAAATAACATAAATTTGTTAAAGCTGTTGAGGTCTAAGGACACGATCTAATAGATCGTTGTACCGGGTAGTTGGATCATAATCTCTTACCATAAAAATGGCTGCATGCGGCAGCACCAACTATGAGAAATCCACCAATCCACATGTGATGTGTGAACAATGACAGTTGTGTACCAAGTTAGTAGCTAGATTGGTTAAAGTGCCTAACATAATTGAGCATGCCACGTTGTTAGGATCTCATATAGGGCCATAATAAGAGTTTTCAAAGTTATTTCTGACTTGCATCATGTGTCACAGACCCAAATGTTATGTCTTACCAACCTTCTGCAAAGAAGAGTGTGTGTGTGTATATATATATATAGTAAGTCTTATTAATGTTAAAAAAACCAACACTAAGAAAGTGCTGTGATTACATAACCCCCCCCCCCCCCCCACCACACACACAACCAAAAGAAAAGAAAAGAGAGAGATAAGAAAAAACAAAGCACCTTGACGGCTATCTATTCTATGAACTGTAGCATGGCTTCTGCTTCATTTGCCCTCTCCAATTTACGCTAACAAGAAATCAAAAGAACACAATCAGACTTGATTTTCAGCTGGGAGTTCTCTTGTCATTCTGAAACTCCTTTTGTCCTTTCTCTCCAAACACATCATCAGATGCCAGCATGTATGGTGTTTCGACCCTTCTTTAAATTCTTAGCTAGACCTTTTCACTGCCAGCACAAAGTAAATCTGCTGCTGCTTTTGGCATAGCCCAGTTGAGTCCCAACATATTAAACATATGCCAAATCTTTGTGGTGGAAGGACAATGCAGGAAGAGATGGTTATGAGTTTCTGACTCCTCAATGCACAAATAACTTCTATTGACAAGCTGTATCCCTCTTATTTGTTGGTTGTCTTGACTCTTGAGTCAGACCAGCTTCTTTGGTCACTAACTACTCAAAACACATCACTTTGACTGGTGTGTGAAAGTTCCATACTTGCTTACATGGTCCCTGAGTAGTCTGGTTATTTTCTTTAAGCAACAAAAAGTATCATGAGTTTCCTGTAAATGTGCCATTGCCCTTTCTTTTTCATATCAGCTGATCTTCTCTGTTGTTGAGTCCTTGGAAAGAGGCAAGGATGCTGTGAAATTCTGTAATATTGTGTAACTCCCAGTTATTTAGGTTCCTTCTGAAAGTGATGTTCTTACTGTTAAGGCCCTACTTTGTGCAGCAGTAAGATCGATATCTTGAGCAAGGTTATAGAGGGATGAGAGTTGATCTCTAAGAGGTGAATGCCACATATTCTCCTACTAGAAAGACACCCTTCTTCCATTTCCTAATTTAATACCAATGAGTGTAGAAAAAAGTGGCCAACATGCCCTAATATTTCTCCAGATTCCAGCCCCATGTGAAGGATGTTTTTATCTGTGGACCAGTTGTTCATGAGGTCATACTTCACTGTGATTGTGTTTTTCCTTAAAACATTGACTTCAACAATGAATCTTTAAAGCCATTTCATTAAGAGGCTCTTGTTTTGCATTCTTAGATTTTTGATACCCAGGCCTCCTTTTTAAAGTAACATTGCCCTATTTGATCATATTAAAAGTTTTTCCTTTTTTGTTCCACTGCCACAAGCATTCTGTCCTCAACTTGTCTATTCTTTTCTCTATCTTCAAAAACACTAGAATAAGAACCAATGCGCCACC